TGAAATATTGCATTTGAAATATTTCATTCACATTGCTGCTAGTGTGAAACCCCTATTAGTGTTACAGGTCATCGACAAATTTGGAAAGTACTTCTTGTGGTGTTAATTCTGGTTGTTGATTCATCTGTGACATTTGTACATAATCAGATTGTTGATAAAACATTTCTTGTGTAGTAGGATCATTTTGGCTATTCATCATCAGTCCGGAATTATTCTGTGTATTAATAAAACGTACAGTGTTCATCTGATTCATTTGACCAGGATTTCCACGTAACATTGGTAATCGCTGTTGTTGTTGTTGTTGAGAATTGCCACTCCAATTTGTCGAAGTAAAACGAATTTGTTGTTGCTGATTCGGATAAATTTGTTGTTGTTGTTGCGAAGGTGCCTGTTGATTCTGTTGTACTGCATTCATCATCATTGAAGCACGTGGACTAGTTTGTGGATTCATTTGTCGTTGTTGTTGTTGTCCAGGATTCATCATTCGTTGTTGTGATTGTCCAGGTTGAGGACCACCATACCAATTCTGGTTTTGAGATAATTGTTGTTGTGTATTCATATTCGAACCTTGTTGATTAATCATCTATAAAAGTTACATTGATACAAGTTTTTTCATTGATGAAAATTTCATGAATAAAAAACAAAATCCAAAAAAAGGTAAAACTTACATTTTGTTGCATAGACATCTGTTGCTGTTGTTGTTGTTGTTGAGATGGATGTTGTTGTGTTCGTATTAAAGCTGCCATCATTTTCGGATCATTTTTAATGAATGACATTACATCAGGATTCGTACTTGTCGTTGAATTTTTAAATGTTTTTATTAATTGTGCATAATTATTTTGATTAGGTTGATTGCTCATTTGTTGCGACATATTTGGATTGGTCATCTGAATCATCAAATCAGAATGGTTAATTTTCAAAAGGAAAATTTTTTTTTCAATCAAAATATTACCTGTTGCTGTTGTTGATGATTTAATCCCATCTGTTGTGGATGTTGTTGTTGCTGTTGTTGAATATTTTGATTAGATGACATCAGTAACGATGGTAAATTACTTCCAATATTTTGCTGTTGTTGTTGTTGTTGCATATTCATCATCTGTGATTGTGTAAATTGTGTCGGTTGTGATTGCATTGTATTCATTTGTGGACGATTAAATCGTTGAGAACTAAACCATTGTTGTGGTGTTTGTTGTTGAGAACTTTGTTGAACTTGTTGCATATTATTATCAGCTGATTGTGGTCCCACCATTTTCGGTTGCATTTGTTGAATCGATTGATTTGATGTTAATGGCTGTTGTTGTTTTGATATTTGCGATGATGATGATGAAGACATATAAGGAAGCATTGGTTTTCCACCTTTTCCAATTATTGGTTGCATATTTTGTGTTGTATTTTGTTGTTGTCTTGCTACAGCTTGAACAGCAGCAGCAGCTTGTAAAGCACCAGCCGGTGGTGGTGTAGCTGTTGCCGGTTTCATATGACACTATTTTGGATTGATTGATTGATAAATTAAATTATGAAACAAAGTTAAAAACATTGAACTTACCGGTTGTGGTGGACAAGAAGGTGTTGCATTATTACTAGATGATTGTGATGAATTTTGTGCCGATTGATGAATAGCCATCGACATTGAAGCAATACGACGTTTAAGTATTTGTGCTTGTTGATAACGTTGTTGTATTTGTTGTTGTTGAATTTTTTGTTTAAAATTCTGACAATAAGGTACCATACATTTGTTACCTTGTTCCTGGCAATGTTTAGCATGATAACAACATAATGCAATTAATTGTTTACAAATTTGACAATGATTAGCAATATTCTTTTTCTTGCAACTTTTTGCATGTTGTACAACACGTTTCATTTTCAAACAAGTTGGCCGACGACAATTTGCATCACGACATTGACATGCATGTGATAAACTTTCAATACAACGTTGTATCGATTGCCTTCTTGTTTCACTTGGTGATGTACCAATATTTGAACCAGTGGAATTTGGATCATTATTTCCATCACCATCACCTGCGGTATTTGAATTTAATGCACCAGCTGCATTACTAACATCACCATCAACACTACTCATGAGATCACCAAATTCAGTTCTATCCATACGATGTTGATGGCCATCTTTTTCATAACACATAACACAGAGATCAAAATCATCACAATGGCTACAATGATATCTTGTTTCCATTAGACTACGTTTACAATTATTGCACGAATAAATGAATCGTTCATTATTACAATTATGTAATTCATAAAGCATTGCTAAACTTGAAAATTTAGCACGCCTTAAACTAGAAAATTCATAATGTTTATCTCGAGCTAATGTTAGGAAAGCATCACGGCCATCCATAAGATCACAGTTAATTAAATTATCAAGATCATTAACAGGAGGTAAACTTGCTGCCGATTGACTTGAATGTAATCGTACTACAAAGAAAACTTCTTTATGTTTTTCCATTGTAGCAAATACTTTTGATGTTAATTCGGCATCAAATTGTTGTATTGGTGATAGCTACAATCAAAATATTACCATTTAAAGATTAACTCTTTAAAAAAATCAAAAAAATTACCTGTGTTTGTTGTTGATTAGCTAACGGTCCTGATTTTAGTCTTGAAAGAACATTATTTTTTCGATTATTTTGTTTTTTATTTGATTTTTTATTGGCACTATTCTTTTTATGTTGTTTGGAATTATTATCCGAATCTTTACTCATTTCATTATCTTTTTGATCAACAGAATCGATCATTTCGACTGTTATTTTAGAAAATAAAATAGAAAAAAAAATCAATGATAAAAAATTACTCCAAAAAACCACAACTATACCTATTGAATCATCATCCATGGTTTTATCATTGCCAGATGGATCTGATTTATTTGTATCCATTAATTGTTGTTGTTTTTGATGTTCCATTTCAATTTCTTTGATTGAATCTTCCAAAACATTTGGCCAAAAATCACCTTTATTGACCAAAAACAAAACAAAAAATTTAGTTTTAAAAAAATCTACAAGTTTAAATGGATAAAATCTTTACCTTCAAAATAAGGTAATTCCGATGCATTTTTCAGATTATCTTCCGTTGCTTGCCTTAGTATGTCTTTATAATCAAGAACAATTCTTTCGATAATACCTTTATCCAACATCTTTTTATACCATTCTTGTAATCTTTTAGGTTTTGGTATTTTTTGTTCAGGTGGATGGCAGTGAAATATATAATCATCACCTTCAAAAAAGAAAGAATATCAAAGTAAAACAAATTAGTCTTTTGGTCATCTTTAGACGGGAAAAAAAATCATACCTTCAGATGGTGGACATGCCCAAATATGAGCCATAGTATATCCCAATTGTTTAGCATAATCTAAATAACCAAGTAAAATTTCATGATATACAGCAGTACGATATTGTTTTGGACGAAAAAAATAAACCGAATCCAAATAGGCTAAATAAACTCGTCTGAAAAAATGAAACAAAAATTAACAACCCGAAAAATTATAAATTGAAAAACAAAAAAATACCTTGTATTTGGTGGTAAACATTCGGAACCATATTCTTGAACATGCATACCGAAAAAACAAACATCAGTACCATCGATAACTTCAAATGCAAATAATGCTTTGGCACGATATGGAAATGATTCTGGAAAATCATTTTTACCACAATATCTATTGATGAATGAAAAATTCAGTGTTAAAAATTAAAGTTTTAAAAAAATATAAACACCCTATACCTTTGTTTCATTCCTGGTTTAACATCAACAATTTTATCCGAACTAGATACAACACGAATAAAAACTTCACCAGCACCACATTCTTTTTTCCTTAGAAAATTATTGACACGATTTTCAATAAATGTTCCCAATTTACTTTGTGGTAAACGTTTTGCACCAAATTTATTTTCACGTCTTTTACGATTATCACGTCGTAAACAACCTTCACATGTGAATCTAATGGTGTAACAGAAATTATGATTAATTTCAACCGAAAAAACAAAAATTCAAAAATCAAATTTACCCTTCAGGCCAAATTTGATCCAAATGTAAAACACATATTTGATGTAATTTTCTTCCACATTCTTTACATTCAAGAAATGGTTCCAAATCTAAATGATCATTTTTACTTTCAACAAATTGACTTTTTGGAATGGTTTGTGTATTTGATGAATTTGGTTCAATACCAAGTACATCACCAACAGTAACATTATCACCAGGTATTTCACCAAAACATTTCATACAATATGTATATCTATGTCATAAAAATATTTAAATTGTGAGCAAAAAAAAGAAATGATTTTCTTCAAATTAAAATATATACCTATTTTGATAATGCATATAATTAGCATCACGAGGTATTGTACATAGTTGTTTACCAAAACAACATAAAATCTGTGGCTGAAATACATATTTCTGTCCACAACAATAACCTAATCTTCTCATTACTGGATTAATTTCTTGTTCAAAAACTTCGGCAAGCTAAAAAAACAAAAAACAAAAATCATTAACAATAACAATCAACAGATTTCATCATCATCATTATTATTTACCTTTGTACAATGACGATAAACACGTGATGTTTTACGATTATAAAGCCATGCATTATCAAACATAAGCCATACATCATCAACATATTGCCATGGATCCGTATATTGTCCTGTAATTAAGAATGAGAAAAATGGTCAATTTTTTGAATCAAAAACTTGATAATTTTCTTCATAATTACTAACCAGTATCAAGATTACGTTTTATAGTTGATAAATCCATTGGATGTTTTATAATATTAAAATAATCCGGTATTTGTAATGCATCTGGATCAACTGGTTGTCGAAATGGCATTGATTCCGGTACTTGTTTATATAATTTTTCTAATGTTGGCATTAATGCTTGTCGTAATTCATCCGGTTTGAATGTTTTCTTTTTTGATAAAGGTGCACTTGATGATGATGATGTTGGTGTTGTTGCTGATGATGATGATGATGATTTTGTCGTTACGGCTGTCGTTGTTGTTGTTGTAGATGATGATGATGATGATGAAAATGTTTGATTTGTATTATCTAATGAATTACTATTATCTAAATCTGATTTACTAATATCACTTTTTGATTCTGAATTCGATATAACCGAACCAGGTGATTTAATCATTGATGATGATATTGGTGTTTGATTTTTACCCGAACCTTTATTACCACTACCACTTTGATTATTATTCATCATCATCATTGTTGATGAATTATCCATATTTTTCGAACCAGCAGGTGAATTAAATGAATTATCTAGTATTGATTTTTGTTCATCCATTCCAATTTGATTATTATTACGTTCTTCTTTAATTTCCATTTTCATATTTGTCATTTCTGAATGTGATAATTTTGTATCCATTAACATATCATTATTTGTTGATAAATCTTGATTATTATTACCACCACTAACAAATTGTGAATTACAATTTGTTGTTGCTGTTGTCATTGTCATTTGATCATCAATCATTTCAGATTTAATATTGCATTCATTCAATTGTAATTGATTATGATTAGATTGTTGTTGTTGTTGACCAACAATATTCGTCGATTGTTGTTGCTGTTGAATATTCGCCATATTAGACGATAAATGGGAAGAAGAATTTGTTGTTATCGTTGATGTTGATAACATTGATTGCTGCTGCTGTGATGGTTGCGAACGTTGTTGTTGTTGAGAAGGAATTTGATTTTGAGAAAAATTTTGTTGAGGAGTATTCGGTTGTTGTTGTTGTTGATGAATTAAAACAATGGAATTATTATTATTATTATTCGAAGACGAATTATTATTTATAAAATTTGCTTGATTGTGGCCCTGCTGCTGTTGTTGTTGAGTATGTCTAAATTGATTTGTTTGATTCATCATTTGATGTGATGATGATGATGATGGTGGTAATGGTGATCCTTGTTGCTGCTGTTGATTGGCCGACATGAAAAATTGATTGGATAATTGTTGTTGTTGTTGCTGTTGACCACCAATCATCGATGATGTTTGATGTCCAACACCAACACCTGATTGTTGTTGATTTTGATTAACAAAATTTGTTGTCATCGTTTGATTATTATTATTATTATTATTAGTCGAAACAATCATATTCGATATTGATCTAGTTGGACTTTGCATTGTTCCTTGAATATTATTATTATTATTGGAATTTGGCATTGGTGATCGAGTATTTGTAACAATCATATTTCCAACCATTTGTTGTTGTTGATTTGATACATTTGCTGTTGCTGTTGTTGTCGTCGTCGGTGGTAATGTTGGTGGTGGTGGTTGTTGTTGTTGTTCTCTTCTTCTTTGTCTTTTTTCTTCCAATTCTTTTTGTATTTTATAAATTTTTTCAGCCAATAAATGATAATATTCTTCACGTGAATTTGCTTTATCATACATATCACATTCAACTTTTTTTGCATATGAATATAGATTATGTAAACGTTTATCATGTACAGATAGATTTTGATCAGAATTTGGAAATATAGCATGTACAATTTTCTGTACTAAATGTTGTCGTAATTCTAAATTTACATTACTTTGCCAATCTTTTGTTGTATTTGTATTCGATGAATAATGTGATGTTTGATTCATATTTGTTGCTGTTGTTGTTGCTGTTGATGATGATGATCGGGCATTTGTTTGAAACATATGTGAATTACTATTATAAGGAAGACCAAGTGCTTGATATGCTTTTTGCATATCTGATTGTTGTTGTTGCATCTGTTGTTGTTGTTGCTGCTGTTGTTGTTGAGGTAAAGATGTTTGTTGGGCTTGTTGTTGTTGTTGAGGGCCTTGTTGTTGATTCATTGAACCACTATTATTATTATTATTATTAGTAGTATTCATTTGTGAAATAATATTCAAATTGCTATGATTTTGTTGTTGATTATTCACATTCTGATTCTGATTGCTTGCTATATTTTGCGACATTATTTGTGTCTGTTGCTGGTTTTAAAAAAATCAAATATAAACATTATGAAAAAAAAATCATTCAAAAAATCAATAAAATATTATAATTTACCTGTGGTTTACGATTATTCACCTGTTTTAATGGATTACAAACAGGACAATCAGGTCTATTACAATTTTTCCAATGATTTATTATTTGATAAGAACTTGAACAATGTGCAACTGAACATTGTCGACCTTTTTTTTAAAAAAAAAATGAAAAACAATTTTCAATCAATCGATCCAAATAACAAAGATATGATTAAAAAACTTACCAGCAGTACATTTATTCATATGAGCAAGTACTTGTTTCATAGTTGAACAATGTGATAGATTACATGGAATTGGTTCGGCACCATTTTGTCTTAATTGTTCTTCTTTTTTCTGACATTTATGTGCATGTAATAATAAAACTAATTGTTGTTGTATTAATTTACGTTTTTCATTATCAGCATTCAATAAAGTAGGTCCTGGATTTTGAATTGGTAATTGCTGTGATTGTTGTTGTTGTTGCTGCTGTATTAATTTACGTTTTTCATTATCAGCATTCAATATTGTAGACCCTTGATTTGAAATAGGTAATTGCTGCGAAAGTTGTTGTTGTTGTGCTTGATTAGGATATCTAATATGATTCTGCTGCTGTTGTTGATTTGTTTGATTGAATCCTAAAACAGGATTTTGTTGTTGTTGTTGTTGTTGAATCTGTTGATTTTGTTGAGATCCTTGTGGTTGTTGTTGTTGCATTTGTGAAATACTGATTTGATTTGGATTCGGTGACATATAACGATATTGTTGTTGTTGTTGTTGAGCGATTCTTGGTGGTATAACTTGATTATTTTGATTATTCTGATTTTGAAAACCAAATTGTTGTTGTTGTTGTTGTTGAGACATTATTTGTACTTGCGGTACATTCATAGTTATAGCAGAATTATTGGCGCCTTGTTGTTGTTGTGAAGCATAACGATGTTGTTGTTGCTGTTGCATAGTAGGATTTCTTGATTGTGGTCCTATTGATAATTGTTGTTGTAATGTCATTCCACCTGTATTTGAATTTGTTAATATTGATCTTTGAATTTGATTAGGATTCTGTTGTTGTTGTTGTTGCTGTAATTGATTCTTTTGTAAATGTTGTTGTTGTTGTTGATGATGTGGATGATGTTGATGATGACCACCAGCCATTGTTGTTTGTAAACTATGCATCATATTAGCTTGGGCAGTAGTGGATGGATTATTATTATTATTATTATTATTAACAACAATATTTTGAACAACATTGTTGTTATTATTATTATTTAAAATATTATTTTCAACAACAATATTATTTGTTGTTGTTGTTGTTGTCGTTGCCGATGATGATGATGATGATGATAATTCATTAGGTAAATTATTAAACATGTGCATATTAAAATCAGATGAAGATGAATTTATTGTTGATGATGGACCAACAACACCACCACCACCATCATTATTTGTTTTTAATCGTTTATTTGGTTGATCTTGATTCATATTGATTATATTTCCAGTTTGATTGATATTACTACTAATAATACCATCATTTCCAACACTACCAACACCACCACCACTACCAGTTAATATAAATTGATGTGGAACAATTGTACCAGTTCCAGTATTATTATTATTATTATTATTAATAATGGATGATGATGATCCACTATTAGTTAAATCATCCATTTTTTAAATTTTTTATAAATAATTGTTGATATAATAATTGAATGCACATAGCCCATAATATTATATAATTGTGGCAAATGAATGATTATCATTTAAAAGATGATGATGATTATGATTATGGATGATGATGAAATTATTTTATACTGGAAAACAAATAAATAAATAAAATTTTAAAAAATGTCAAAAAAAAATGATTATAAAAATCTCTATTAACAAATTATTACTTACAATTAATGTCTATATAATAGTGGTGTTGATTACAAAATTACTTGTCTATAAATTAAAATTGTGAAAATTATTTATCAAATAAAAAAGAAAAAAATATTCACAAATTGTTGTTGTTGTTTATTTGATTTTGACAAAATAATAATGATGATCAGAAAGAGAGAAAAACACTGGAGAAAAATAAACAAAACAAAAAATGATTCGAATAGTTCATTGATTCGAACGTTCGAATGTTTGATGTGTGTTCGAATTATGTATGTTCCACAATCAGAAATTTTCAAACTTTTGAAAAAACCGACACAGAAGAATATATTCCGGAATTTGATTAGTTTTCAAACGAAGAAAAAAAAATGACGAAATTTTTCAACAACAAAAAAAACAGAGCAGACTAATAAACACATTTGATAATTATCATTGATTCTTTGATGATGCTCAATTTTTTCAAAAAAAAAAAAAAATATCATTCGATCAACATGCACTACCATGCAAACAAAAAAACATTTCGATCGAACGATAAACAAACAAACAACAAAAACATCGACCTTAAGGGGATTGCGTGGCCATCATATAAGTGTGAGAAGATTGCCGGCCAAAGAATCGTCACCCGAATCCAAGAAAAAAAAATTAAAAAAAAAATGTCGATGGTAAATCCAAATGTTGTTGTTGATGATGCGGTAAATCTGAATAGTCCGAAAAAAAAAATATCAATTATTACCAAGAAGATTCACTCACTCCATTTGGGAGTGAAAAAAAAAAATTCAATAATAAATATAAATAAAACAACAACAACAACACTTCGGCCATTTTGATGATAAAGATTCACAATACACACACATAGAGCCACAGAATATAAGATAGAGAGAGAGAGAGAGAGCGAACCATCATCAAGTGAATGATGATGATGAAAAGAGAGGCAGCAAAAATAGCAACAACAACAACAACAAAAATGATACTCACACTAAAATGAAGAAGAAGAAGATGAAAAGGAGACTGCTCAACAAATAAACACAAACAACTTTATAACATAACATAAGCTCGTTCTTTTCTTTTTCTTCTTCTTCTTCGTCAACTCATTTGGCTCATTGCTATATAAATAGTGGTTTAAAAAAAAAAAAAAAAAAAAAAAATGTTCGGGGGTTTCAATATACAATGTTACCGGGTGGCGCTTTTTGATTCTTGTTTTTTTTCAGAATTGGAATTTTTTTTTTTGAAAGTTTTTTTTTTTTTGTTGAAAAAATCTATTGATTAGCGAATCTTTGTTCATTTGGGAATTTTTTTTTTCTGTCTTCTAAATGTTTCCATACTTTTTGATTTTTTACTTTTTTTTTTCATTCAATCCCGATGATCATATGTGCAACATATGATTTTCTTTTTCTCTTTTTGGTCAATGTTTATTTTTGGTCAATGTTTTTTTTTCCAAATTAAAATTTCGAATCGAATGGCAAATTTGAATGGAATTTTCAACAACAAAAAAAAACCTTTTTCCCGGAATGTTATCCCCTGTAAATTTTTTCCAGTAAAAATCTCGGAAAAATGTAAAAAATTTCAATTTTTAAACAGAATTTTTTTTTTTTTTTTAATTCATAATTTCACTCAAAAACTAATCATAAAGTATGTTACACACCTGAGAATATATATCGATAATTTAAAATCGATTACAATCGATTGTTCCAAAGTGATGATATTCTCTCTCTTCACACACCGGCCACCTTTTTTTTTCCTTCTTATTGTTCGCATTCAAAAAAAAAATAAAAAAATCCGTAGTAGTGGTCTTACCGAATGTTAGCGTGTGTGGATTCTCCGGCAACTTAACACTCTTTCCGCTATCTTTTGAATATAATTCCTCCCTTGCTCACTCGACATATAAGCGGATAATGGATTTAAATAAAAAAAAACACCGAGAGAGAAAGAGAGAGAGAGGGTGAGTTTACGTTAAACGTTACACGGTTACGTTATGCTTGCGTTTATCATCATTATAGTGAATGCTTCTTCCATAAAGAAGAAGAAAAACGAAGACAGACTGAAAAGAGGGAGAGATATTGCATTGTATGCGTGCGTTTGTCTGTGTGTGTTATGCTTGTGGATAAAAAACTTGGATTTTTTTGTTTTGTTTGGCTATTTAATCGATCAAAGAACTGATTTTTGTTTTGTTTCTTTTTTTCATCATTGGTTTCATCTTTTTTTTTTCTGGACCACACCAAATTGGAATAAAATTTTTCCGAAAAAAAAGGGAATTTTCTGAAAGATTTTTCTTCGATTCGAATTGAAAAATTTTGTTTTCTGTTTTGTGTTTTGTGAAAGAAATAGAATTAGTCATCATCGTTCGATCGACCGATCAATCGATAATCATCTGGACGATAAGTGTTTCAAGAATTTCAATTTTTTTTTTTTGATTCGAAATTATCATCACCAACAGACATCAGACAAGCAAAGAACGGCGACGATTGCATTGTTTACTTAAGATTTTTGATTTTTTTCCATCAATCGAATCAAATGAACACCGAACAACAATGATTGCCGCATCAAATTTTGTTACTAATCAACCACCACCACCACCACCAATGCACAATAGCAACAACAACAATAATAATCTATCTACATCAACCTCATCTTCGAATCAAACATCATCGAATATATTTACAAATGAACAAATTATGAATAATAATAATAATGATAATGATAATTATTTAAATCATCAGAATAATCTCAATAATAACCTTAATAATAATCATCAGAATAATCATCATATTGATGGTAATGATGGTATCGTTGTTGAAGATAATAATATCGTGGTCGAGGATAGTATCGTTGTTGAAGAACAAGAAGAAGAATCTGTGGATATAAATATTAGTAATGTTGTTACAAATTTTAATGTTCGTTGTCATTTAAATTTAAGACAATTAGCAACAAGAGGTTCGAATGTTGTTTATAGAAGAGAACGTTCGGTATGTTTTTTTTGTTCGAAATTTTTTCGTTCGAAATTTTTTCGTTCGAATTTTTTTCCCAAATTTGATTTCGGAATTCGATTCCCCAATTTGAATTTAGATTGTTTTAATGAAATTACGACATCCATCAATAACCGCAAGTATTTGGTCATCGGGAAAAATAACCTGTACAGGTGCAACAACTGAAGAATCAGCAAAATGTGCATCAAGAAGAGTTGCCCGAACATTACAAAAATTAGGTTATCCAGTTAAATTTCGTAATTATAGAATTGTTAATGTTTTAGGTGCTTGTCGGTTACCGTTTGGTATAAAAATTCATGAATTTAGTGATACACATAGGCCTTTAGCAAGGTAAAGTTTTCTGCTTGTTGTTTTTTTACCTGAAATTCCAATTGTAAAATTTTCATTGTTTTTTTTCATTTTCAGTTATGAACCTGAATTACATCCTGGTGCAACATATCGTATAAAAGAATTAAAAGCTGTTATGACTATATTTCAAACAGGATCAATAACAATAACAGCACCAAGTATAACAAATGTGCAATTAGCAGTGGAAAAAATTTATCCATTAGTTTATGAATATCGTAAACCAAAACCTCCACCATTATCATCATCATCTTCTGTACAGAAACATACTCAATCATCATCATCATCATCAAAACATCAAACATTAAAACATCAAAATCAAAACAATAATAATCATTGTCAACAAACGAATAATAATAATAATAATAATGCATTACAATCAAAAAATCATCATCATACTTATAATTCAACAATTATTACAAATCATAATCATAATTCAATAGAAAATAATAATGATGATGATGATGATGAAGAAGAAATTGATGCTGTTGTTTATTGTAAGGATATACCATTGGCCGAAATTTTTAACGATAAAGATGAAGACGACGATGGTGATAATTCTGATTAGTTTGACCTGTTTTTCCAAATTTTTCTTCATCGAATTTTTTGTCACAAAAATATCTTGTTCATCACTATCACCACTTTCACCAAAAACCAGAAAAAATCGTTCGATTTTGTTTATCGTTCGATTTTGACTCTCTCTCGTCTCATCATGTTCTTATTTATACAAACCAACAACAAAAGCAAAACAAAAAAAAACTCTCGGGTCTTTTTTACACACCACATGAAATGAACCTTTTTTTTCTTCCTCTTCATGAATTTTCTCTCATATTTTCCTTTTTGATTCTGTGATAAAATATTTGTACATTTTTTCTTCTCTCTCAAACAAACAAACACAAAAAAAGGTTAGTTTTAAATTTTGATTTAATCAATCAATCAATGGAAAGAACACACTAAAACAAATTAACACGCATACACCACACACACTTACAAATTAATAATAAAAAAATTTTTATCGAATTCTATTTTGTAAAATAAAAACGAAAAAAAAACAAAAATCTTCTTGGCTGTTGCACACCTGGAATGACCATTTGATTATTATAAATTACATTTCGAGTTTAAAAAATGGTTGAATGAAATAAGATCCGGAGGAAATTTGTATCTCTAGACTAGAATATATATGCTGGATTTTGGAAAAAATATTTAACAAACAAATTAATGAATATGGGTTATTGCGATTTTAATTTTTAGCGGCAGCCGCTGTTGCTGCTGATCCAGCACCACCACCACCACCTTGTCTTGGATAAAATTCAGCCAATGTATCAGCCGGTATACGTTTAAGCATTTCTTTTGGAAAAATTCTTAATAATTTCCAACCAATATCTAATGATTCAAATACCGAACGATTTTCATAATTTCCTTGTGTAATAAATGTTTTTTCAAATTTGTTTAAAAATTCTAAATATAATAAATCTTCAGCTGTTAATGCTTCTTCACCAACAACAGCTTTCATTGCTTGTACATCTTTACCGATAGCATAACATGCATATAATTGATTTGAAACATCAGCATGATCTTTACGTGTCATTCCTTCACCAATAGCTGATTTCATTAGACGACTAAGTGATGGCAGAACATTAATTGGTGGATAAACTTGTCGATTATGTAATTGACGATCAACATAAACTTGTCCTTCGGTAATATAACCAGTTAAATCAGGAATAGGATGTGTAATATCATCATTTGGCATAGTCAAGATTGGAATTTGTGTAATTGAACCATTTCGGCCTTCAACACGACCAGCACGTTCATAAATTGTAGCTAAATCGGTGTACATGTAACCGGGGAAACCACGACGACCAGGAACTTCTTCACGGGCAGCTGATACTTCACGCAATGCTTCAGCATATGATGACATATCAGTCAGAATGACCAATACATGTTTTTCACATTGATAAGCTAAAAATTCAGCCGTAGTTAATGCCAATCGTGGTGTTATAATACGTTCAATAGTAGGATCATTAGCCAAGTTTAAAAACAAACAAACATTTTCCATTGAACCATTTTCTTCAAAATCTTGTTTGAAAAATCGTGCAGTTTCCATATTAACACCCATAGCAGCAAAAACAATAGCAAAATTATCATCAGCTTCACGACCTCTACCATCCAATTGTACCAAACCACCTTGACGACAAATTTGTGCAGCAATATCATTATGTGGTAGACCTGCAGCCGAAAAAATTGGTATTTTTTGTCCACGTGCAATAGAATTCATAACATCAATAGCTGAAATACCAGTTTGAATCATTTCTTCGGGATATATTCGAGATTCAGGATTAATTGGTTGTCCTTCAATATCCAGATAATCTTCAGGTAATACAGGTGGACCATTATCGATTGGTTTACCTGATCCATTGAATACACGACCCAGCATATCTTCTGAAACTGGTGTTCGTAAAATATCGCCTAAAATTCAATCAATGAAACAGTTAAATTTCAGAATGTTTTTCAACGAAAAACAATAAAGACCAAACCTGTAAATTCACAAATCGTATGTTTAGCATCGATTCCAGATGTTCCTTCAAACACTTGTACAACAGCTTTTGATCCACTAACTTCCAATACTTGTCCAGTTCTTACAGTACCATCATTAAGTGTTAATTGTACAATTTCAGCATATTTTGGAAATTTTACTTCATCCAATATAACTAATGGCCCATTAACACCAGTTACCGTTTTATATGTTAACCGTGGTTGTGATACATAATTTCTTGTTACAGCCATTGCATGTGTACGATTGGCTGCATTTGGATTTAACCATTCGTTGACAGTCATTTTCGAAAAATGTTTTTAGAATTTCAAATTCGGGTAACAAACAAAAAAATTTCGATGCGAAAATTAAATGCAAAAAAAATGGATGATGCTTTTTGGAGAAACGAAAAATGAAAATAAAAAAAGATGAGTTTTTTGCTCAATATTGACTGATAAGGATTTACGCCTACAATGACGACTGCACAGTCTCCAAAAGAATATCAAAAAAAAAAAAAAAATCCTGATCTTGAACAGATTGCGCCGTACAGATAGTACGTAAACAAGTGTTCGATCGATGTTTTTTTGTTTTTGTTGTCAAAAATTTTTCGATTTTTGATTTTTGCTTTTCAAGAATTTTTGAAGAATTTTTTCAACCAGATTTTCGTAATCAAGAATGTCCATTTTAGCATTATCGATTGTTAATAATCATAATACACCTGTATTGATTCGAACACGTAACCAAGAATCATCAACAAATAATGAAATTGATCTGTTATTTAAATTACATTCATCATTAGATGTTATTGATGAAAAACAATTAAATCGTGAAACATTTCTTGGATTATTAACACAAAGTGATCAATATAAAATTTTTGGTTATTGTTCAGCGACGAATAATAAAATTCTATTAATGGTTGCGAATAATCAAACAATTCGTGATAATGAAGCACGAGCTATATTGAAAACATTACATAATCATTTTGTTGATTGTACAACATCCAATCCATTCTACGTACATGGTCAGCCTATTCACTCAAAGTAAGTCATTTTTGGTTGAAATTCTTGAAATTCAAAAATGTTCATTTTCTTTTCTTTCTTTATCTACAATAGACATTTGATGCGAAAAATTGATGAAATTTTTGGCTAACGAATACCTCCTCTCTCCATTTTTGCCCATGTTTATCAATAAAAGTTTTATCAATCAGTTTTTTTCTTTTTTGACAATTTTCTGTTTCCATTCGAATATTCAAGGTTCGTTGCACTTGATCATCATTTTTTTGGGTTGTCAAAGATGGACAAAAAATCGATAGATGGCAATCATCATTTGATGGAAAAAAAGTCTTGACAAAAAAAAATTCGAATATTTCCTGTCCAGGTATTTAAAAAAAAGGTAGTGGCACATGACCGAGAGAGAAAAAGAGAATGTCAAAAACGACGACCACACCGGTCAGAAGAAGAAAAAGAAAAAGAAACGCAAAAGTGCTGCCCCCAACAACAACTATGTTGATGTATACAGTCGCCAAACAGAAAGCCAAAATCAGCCCACCACCTCCTCCTTCTCCTCCTCAACTTTATCATTTTGATGTCGGATTTACAACGCCACCACTAAAAAAATATTGAATTCTTTGAATGAAAGAAGCGTATGCAAAACAACAAACAAACAAACATTGCTCACTCTTCTTTGTCTATTTTCTCTCTCTGTCTCGCTCTTTTTCTCGCTCTCTCTTTGTTGATTGAGTGTTAAGTAAAAAGTGTGTGCTCGAATGCAACAAAAAAAAACTACCGAATGAATCGAATCGTCATCACCAGCAAACAAAAAACATCATCATCATCAAAAGTAAATCGTCAAAAACCCAAGATTTCGTTTTGGAATTTAAAATTTTTTTTCCGTTTTTTTGTTTTTTTGGGAGAAAAAAAAACTTGAATTCGAAACAAAAAAACACCAGAAAAATCTGTTGATTTCTTTCTCCGGTATTTTTTCTTCTCTGGTTTGGATAACCACCATCTCCAGCAACCAATTTGTGATTTGAGATAACCATTGCTTTGTTGTTGTGGTTTTTCTCTGGTTATCTTTCTCTGATTTGACGTTGTAGTTTTTTTTGTGAGTGATTTGTTTTTTTTTCTTGAAAAAAAAAAGACTTGAAAAGTGTTGAATTTTGTTTGACTGAATCTTACAAAAAACAAAACAAAAAAGACAGATTTGGTTTCGATTTCTTTTTCTCTCTTTTCGTTTGGATCGAACGAGATTCTTAATTTTTTCCTTAAATTTTTTTTTCTGGCTGTAAAATTTTCAAAACTCAACCAACAACGGACAACCAGCGAGTATTGGAGGGTGAAGCTTCTTCTCGTTATTCGGGAGGAAAGGACAACAATGATGTTTATCAACAACATCAACAATCACAACAACAACAACGTCCTATTAGCATTCATTCTACGACAACAACAACAACAACACAACAACAGCAACCACCACCACCACCACCAACAACGTCCACCACATTATCATCATCAATATATGGCCGTAATAATAACAGCGGCGGTAGCAGCAGCACCAGTAGCGGTTCCGGTATTTTAATTCGTAGATTTGCTCCTCCGAATAATCAAAGAGATGCATGCGATAATCCTCAAATTGTTTATAAAGTTCGTGGGTAAGTTTTTCTGGTTTGTTTCGTTTTGATTTTTTGGGTAAATTTACTAATGGATTTTTGTTTTTTTCATTTCATTTTACAGAATATTGAATAAAATAACACCGGAAAAATTTGAAAAATTAAGCCAAGAATTACTTGATCTTGGCCTTGAATCAGAAGATGTTCTTACTAGAGTTTTATTATTAATATTTAATAAAGCATTGGATGATTACAAATATAGTTGTATGTATGCAAAATTATGTAAAGTAATCAATGATAATGTTTCCAAATATTATGAACAAAATTACAACAAAAATGTATGTATTTTACATGATTTTATCATTTTTTTTATCGATTAACCTTTTAAAATTTTAGGTTTTCAAAATATTATTGCTAAAAAAATGTAAAGAAGAATATGAAAATCGTTGCAATGCATTTGAACAATTTGATAATCAAAATGGACCACTTAGTGTTGATGATGAAGAGAAACGTTCATTGGCAAAGCAAAAAATGCTTTGTAATATTAAATTTATTTGTGAATTGGGTAAACAACAATTATTACCAAAAAATATATTACATGATTGTATTAAACAATTATTATCACGGGCGAAAAATCAAAGTTTCGCTGATAAAATGCAAGATTTGGAATGTTTATGTGAAATAATGAAAAATATTGGCCATTTATTGGAAACAAGTGAAAAAGCAAGCATTTTATTAGATCAATATTTTGATCGTATGAATACTTATTCAAAAAGTAATGAAATTAATTCACGTATTAAATTTATGTTATTGGATGTTATTGATTTAAGAAAGAATAATGTAAGTTTTGATGATGGAAAATGCCTATTAGATTTACATTGATTTTTTGATTTTTTTTTTCAACAGTGGATTCCTCGCCAAAAAGATGTCCTTCAAAGTAGTGTTGCGGAAAAGGTGCCTGAAAAAGAAAATAATGGTTTATTATCATCATATGGTACATTATATCATATGCATCATTTAAGACATGGTGGTATTGGTGTTGGTGGTGGTGGTAATCCATTAATGAATCAAGGTAGAATGGATGATATGTTTGCACCAATGCCAATTGGTCCAATTTATCTTGGTACTGGTCCTGGTGCTATAAATGATCATAATTTTTCACAATGGAATAATCAACGTCGGCCTAATTATAATCAGAAAAATTCATCATCATATTCATCGGGAAATATGAATAATAATAATTATAATTCACATCAACAACAACACCAGCAACAACAACAACAATCATCATCAATGATGATGATGAAACGAGATAATCAATCAAATTATCGTCAGAATTATCAACAACAACAACAACAACATAATAATAATATGGCTTCAAACAATCAAAATAATACAATGAATGGAATGAATAATATGCGTGAAACATCATCAACAGTAGCAAATTTACCACCACGTTTTCAAAAACAACAAATGAAACAAAATACAAATTTATCATTTATAAAACCACAATTTCAACAACAACAACAGCAAAATAATTTTCAGGATCATAATCAACAACGTATGATGCCAATGATGAAACCACAGCAGCAACAGTTTATCAATAATAATGATAATAATCGTTCACAAACAACTGCATTTAATCGATTACCATCATCAACATCGACAACAACAACAAATCCATTTCAAAAACCGAATAATACATTTAGTAAATTTATAAATCCAACAAAATTGAATGGAAAAGATGTTTCTGGTGGTAATAGTGTTTTGGCTAATGGAATGAATCAAATGCGTTTACAAGATGATACAAATAGTGGTGGCAGTGGCATTGGAGGTGGAAATAGTGGTGGTGGTGGAAGTGATGACACTCAAAACAAAGATGAACCTGTTAATTTATTTTTCGAAATTGAAAAACTTCTTAATGAATATTATACGGATGAAAAACAATTGGATGGTATTATACAATTTTTGAAAACAACTACATCAAATTTTGATGAATGTCTTTTATCAATTATGCGTATAAATATTGGTAAATCAGAACAGGAACGTGAACTAACCAATAAACTATTGAACAAGATAAAATCCGAACAAATTGTTGATGATTCAATATTTTTATCATCATTGAAAAATTTGTTTTCAAAAATTAATGAATTAGAAGTGGAAACACCACGTGCACGAACATATGTTGCTGGTTATATTGCTATGGCTATTATTGAAAATGTAATTTCATTGAAAGAAATTGGTGACCTATTGGATGGTGGACAACATTATCCATTATTTCCATTAATATTACAAAATCTACATAAAGCAAAAGATCAAGAATGGTTGTTTGATTTATTTACTGAATCAAAAATTAATCTAATGCAAATGGTACCTGAACCGGATCGTAATAAAGAACGTATGGCTGATATTTTGGAAGATAGAAACCTGACATTTTTATATCCAATGTTACGTATTGAATCGGATATAACAAAACAAATAACAAGTGATTGTTCACCAAGTTCATTATATCGTTGGCTTAAAGATAATGTTAATCAAACATTACAAAATAGTACAGAATTTATATCGGTTGTATTTTCAACTCTGTTGAAACATATTATATCCAAATATAATAATCCAGATAATCCATTTGTTTTTTCAACCACCCTGTTTGCACAACAAGAAAATGAATTGAAAAAATATTCAACAATATTACAGAAATTTTTATCTGGTAAACATGATTTACAGTTAATTGTACTTTATTCATTACAAACATATTGTTATGAACATAATTTTCCAAAAGGATTAATTGAAAAATGGTTTAATATGCTTTATGAACAAGAAATTGTTGATGATGATGTATTTTTTCGTTGGCGTGAAGATATTAATGAAGAATATCCAGGGAAAGGTAAAGCATTATTTCAGGTAAACAAATGGCTTATATGGTTGGAAGAAGATGATGATGATGATGAAGAAGAATAATAACTTAAATCAATCAATCAATCTTAACACTTGGTCGACAGCAAAAGACATTGATCGTTTTCTTCAAAAAAAAAGTTTGATGAAACGATCCTGTCATCAGAAGAAAAGAATCTCCCCAATTCATCTATGATTACCACAACAACAACAACAATATATTTTGATTCGAAAAAAAAAATAAGTGATGCAAAAAAAAAAATTTGAAAACAAACAAAAAAATTTGTATTTTATAATTTTAATTAATGATGCTGATGATTATGATGATGATTGAAAATCGAAAATTAATTAAAATAAAATAAAATAATTTTGAAAAAAAGTAAAAATTTTGAAAAAATTGAAATTTTTTTTGTTGAAAATTTCGTTCGTTAGATGTCGCCACTTTTTCTCGAATCAATTTTTTCTGTTCTGCATGTTGTCCTTTTGCGCTTGGCGAAGAAGGCTAATTTGATGGTGTTTGTCTGTCTCTCTGTTTGTCTGTCTGTCTGGCGTTTATCATTTTCGGAAAAAATATATCCAAAAAAGTTGATAATAATTTCTGTTTGTGGTAGATTTTGATTTGAAAGTTTTTCTTTTTCCTTCGTTTGGCTTTGATATTTGTTTTGATGAATCTTTGAGCGAAAACAATAATAAAATGTTTAAATATACCAAAATTTATTCATATTCGTTGAGTAAGTTTGAATTTCGTTCGAATTTTTTTTCTTTGATTTTTCAAAATTTGAATTTTTTCAATTTTCCATCAGTTGGCCGTCATTGTTCACGGTTAGTTTCGACTAAACCAACACCATCGACAAGATCTTTCGGTAATTTGCAAATTGAATCGAAATTACGATTGAATACCGGTTCCAACAATAACAATAATATTATAAGATGCTCATCATCATTATGTTCGACTAATTTTTGCTCATCCGATTGGTAATTTTTATCATACTTTTTGGTTGTTTGCTTGTTGATATCATATTGTTGATTTGATTTTTAGTAAAACGAATACTGCCTTGTTATTTCGTCGATCGGACAATAATCAAAATCATTGTCGAACATTTCATGTATCAGCCAGATACTGTAAGTCTGTTTGTTTGTTGATGGATTTATTTTCTCATTTTTAATTATTTGTTGAAAAGTTAACGAACTTCGTGATGTTGTTGTACCACAATTGGCCGAATCACTAAGTGAAGGTGATATTCGTTGGATAAAAGCTGTTGGTGATCAAATTAGTGAAGATGAAATTGTTGCCGAAGTTGAAACTGATAAGGTTTTTGTTTTGATTTGATTAGTTTTGATTCGAACATGAATTTCGAATGTTTGTTTGTTTTTGTTTTTCACCAAACACATAGACCTCGGTACCAATTCATTCACCAGTTGCTGGTATAATTGAAGAACTTTTAGCTGAAGATGGATCTACTGTCCAGCCGGGTAAAGTAGTTTTGCGTATTCGTGTTGGTGCTACTGGTGGTGCAGCTGCTCCAGCAGCGGCAGTCGAAACTCCAAAACCTGAATCTTCCGCACCACCACCACCACCGCCGCCATCAACTTCGGAATCTAGCCAACCGGCACCAATGTCAAGCCAACCAATTTCGGATATAAAATCAGCTACACAATCAATGGCTAGTCATCAAGCGGGTGGTGAAACATCATCATCATCAATGGGAGGATCATCATCATCGTCGTCGCGGAAAGAAACCCGTGTAAAAATTAATCGTATGCGTCAACGTATTGCTCAACGTCTTAAAGATGCCCAAAATACTTATGCAATGTTGACAACATTTAATGAAATTGATATGAGGTAAATATTGAAAAAGATTCGATGATGACCATTTCCAAAGATAATTCGATTCTATTTCCACCTTAGCAATATAATTGATATGCGAAATCGTCATAAAGATACATTTCAAAAGAAACATAATCTTAAATTAGGATTTATGTCGGCATTTTTAAAGGCGACCGCTTTTGCTTTACAAGATCAACCAGTGGTTAATGCTGTTATTGATGGTAACGAAGTTATTTATCGTGATTATATCGATATAAGTGTTGCTGTTGCAACACCAAAAGGTTTGGTTGTACCGGTCGTACGTAATGTTGAACAAATGAATTATGCACAAATTGAAAAAGCAATGAGTGAATTGGGTGAAAAAGCCCGAAATAATCAACTGGCAATTGAAGATATGGATGGTGGTACTTTCACTATCAGTAATGGTGGTGTATTTGGATCGATGTTTGGTACACCGATTATTAATCCACCACAATCGGCTATACTTGGTATGCATGCAATTATCGATCGTCCAGTTGTTATTGATAAAAAGGTTAGTTCAGGATTTTACCATGATAATCATTACTAACGGGATTCTTTTTTTCTTTCCAATTTTATAAAACATCAGATTGAAATACGACCAATGATGTATGTTTGTTTAACATATGATCATCGTTTGATTGATGGTAGAGAAGCTGTTACTTTCTTACGAAAAATTAAATCTGCTATTGAAGATCCAAGAGTATTGTTACTTGACATTTAACAACAGCAACAAACAGCAAAACAACAAAATGACACATGTAAAAAATATCAAACATGTAACATTTCATTTTATTCGTAGTCGAAACAAAAATAATATATTTAAACAATAATAATAACCACAAGTAAACAAACAAATTACACAAGACAGAAGAGATTTTATCAATTTTGGTTTGTGAAAAAAATATTTCTAGGAAAAATTATAAGTTTATAAAGATAAAATAAGTAAATTATAAGTCAAAAATGAGCACTTTTTGAAAATTAAAAAATTGTTGTTATGTAATCGTTGTTGTTGTTGATGATTGCGGTGGTGATGATTGTTGTTGTTGTTGTTGATTACGTTTTTTAGCTAAACGTAAACATTTTGGACAATTATTTTTATCATATTTTTCATTAAAACATTTTTGATGAAAAACACTTTTACATTTATCACAACGTTTTGTTGTTCCGGTATCGAATGGATAAAGTATTTCCGAATTTTTACATATTTCACAATAAAATCCTTTTAATTTACAAAGATTACAACCTTGAATATGTTTCCTTGCAAATGTTATTACTTGTCGTAAGGTTGTTGCCAATACATTATTATTATTATTATTTATCTGTTGTAAATCATTTAGCGAATATAAATGTATATGTTCGAAAAGATGTTCACGTGGCCAAACTAATTTACGCATTTTCAGCGCAACACTTTCTTGACATGTAAACAGGTATGCATGTAGGAAGAATAATTGTGTTCGTAGATTAAGAATTTCTTCCATTTCAGCGATGGCTGAATAAATATTTGGACTAAGGATTTTCAGATCAAAAATTGGTTCATTTTCCAATACCGATAAACGGGATTTATTTTGTTTTGCACAGGGAAATTTTCGAAAATTCCAATTATAAATTATCTGTGCAGGTATTAATGATTCTTCACAACCATGACAATCCAAACAATAAAGATGACCATCAATTCGACATTGCATACATTTTCCATAAATCATACCAATCGGACGATTACATTGATAACATTTATAATCTTGTTCATCCAACCCATATTCATTACAAAGTCGGCTTGTTTGTTCGAAAAATTTTTGATTTTCTTCATCATCAACGCCGATCAAATTTTTCGGTATAATTTCAAAATCATTTTCCATCATTGAACTATTTCCACCACCTAATCGACAATCTTGATTTTGATTATTCGGATTGGTTGTTAGAAATGAATTTTTAATTTCCACAATATCCGGTGTGCTTGATAATTTGTTGCCGGTGGTGGTAGCACGTGTTGAATAACTTTCCAATAATGCATTATAACTTTCATCAAGTTTCACATCAACAGGTTGCTGGTGGGTACTCCAACCAGATCTCATTGAAAGTGAATTACCTGTCAATGAATTACGAGGTTGTTGTTGAAATAAATCATCATCATCATTTTGGACATTGATTCTGGGTATTTCTTCTTCTTCTTTCAAATCCTCATTATCATCGTCATTTGAATCTTTTCGATGCGGAATATCGATTGTATCGGAAATAGTTTTCGAAATCGTCACCGGTAATGATGATGATGATGGAATGAATTTTTCATTATCAAATGATTCAGCCATTGATGATCTACCATCGTCACCAGTATTCACTGGTTTTGTCTTTCGTTTATTCAATTTCTATTTGCGAAAAGAAAATCAGAAAAATTATTCTCCAAAATCCAAATCGAATCGAGAAAAACTTACCTCAATTCGATTCTGATCACTACTAATCAAATGAATGGCATCCAATGCCGTTGCGACCATATATGAATCTTCATCTTCCGACGATATTATCACACCAAGATAATCCAATGTTCTGGATGACCAACTATTCAACGAAATATTATCCGCATTAAGACGAAATATATATGGATCTAATTCCGAAAGTAAATTTTTCATCATATCAGTATGTTGTTTATCACGTAAATATGCTGATGAACGATAAAATGAATTTAAACTTGATTGATCACAAATCAAACTATCTAAATAACTACGAAGTAAACATTCATTTAATGACAAACGGATCCATGCACGACATCGGCCAACATCAGTGGATATTTGTTTCAGACATTTTAAATTTTTTGATTGTTCATTATGCGAAAGGATTCGTATTATTGGCCAAAAATCTAAACAGAATAAATTTTTTGGCCGAGAACGAGTTGATGATGTGAAAACATTCGAAACTGTTGTGGATAATTTTTCCTTCAAACCATGTAACAGTATTGATTCGATCAGGTCACAAAACAACATTACGGTAGGTGTCTCGACGATAAATCTATTTTCAATGTTTTCGTTATTCATTGATGAAGGATTCGAATGATTGAATCGTTGATTTTCTTCCATAATCTGATTGATTACTTTATCCAATTCGATAGTCAAATTGGATTTTATATAAACATCATGTGCATAATTTTCAACCGTTGATAAACCAGATGCAAATTTTATAAATGAATCCATGATTTTTCGGACAATATTATTTTCGAATGTTTACCCAAGGATCGATCCACAATGTTGTTTTGTTTTTTTTCCATCAAATCCAAATGATGATTATGATGATTATGGAGCAACCACCATATGGAGCCATATATCTGTCCTAAAAAAAACAAACAAAATGTTTTCGCGGTGTACACTCCAAATATGCCGATTGAAGTTGTTAATAAACTTCAAAATTAAAGTGTACACACCAAATATGGAATTTTGAGTTTTTTTCTCGATCGTCCTATCATCTATTGACAGCTCTGGAATTTATTGTTTTTCCCGTTGTTCGTTACGAACCAAAAAAAAAAAACATTCGAATTTAACGATTCAAATGAGGAACATTTGAATCGAAAATGAAAATGAAAAACCAATGTTTTTCAATTATCACCAATTATCATCAAATGAAATCATTGAACTAAAAAATCGATTGATTGAATCGTTGTAATCGAATGTATTTGACATTTTTTTGTTTGTTTTTTTCTCCCTGAATTCTCGAATTCAATTGTGATTTATTTTTATCGATATTTACCAGCTCTAATTGAATCTGTGTTCGTTATCATTCGGTTACTATCTTTCAGCATCAGCAGCAGCATGTATTTGTCATTTGATGGTGGTAGTGGCGATGATGGTCGAATACGATATAACAAAGATCGATAATTGAGATGAGTCCATCCATATTCTTATCATCAGATAACTATTGTCGACAATTGTCAAACTAACTAAACTCGCTATAGATAAAGGTTGTTAAAAGTCAATTGGTTGTTGGTTGTAATGATGATTTCAGAGACCAGAATTTTTTTTTCAACAAAATAAAATTCAATTTCTGTTTAACGATGGGAAATTCTGTTTCAAATATTGGTTGCCGATAATAAAAAAAAACCCGAAGAAGCTAAAATTTTTGATGATGACAATAACCAATAACAATAGCCGAACGAACAAAAGAATTCGCGAACATATTCATTCTGATCCAACTACGACATCGACTATTTCAACAACAACGGCGATACATTCATTCATTCATTTTATTCATAATAGGATCGATCCGATCAAGATAAATTCTCTCCATATACAGGATATATCAAGGATACATATACATAGTTGGTACTTAACGAAAAAAAAAATGGAAAATCTTTGGCCAAAAAGCATCTCTACATATTGATTCTTCTTTTATGTAAAAAAATTCATTCGATGATTATGATTATGATGATGATGATAATAATGATGAGTGAGTGAATGATAACAATGGTTAATCAAAAAAAAAAAAAAAAATTTTTCCCCGCTATTTCTACACAATATGCTACATAAGCATATTAAAAAAAACGAAAGAATATTCTTCTTTATTAGGGTCATCCATAGAATTTATTATTCCATTGATGATGACATTATTCCGAAATTATTCATTCAAGCGATCAAACTATTCACTATTTCTTTTGGACCAAACTTTTTTTTTCTACGACGAACAATACAAGTTTGTATAATCATCATAATAATCATCCGAGAAAAAAAAGGGCCAGCAAAATTTTGATGATGACAGCCGATTGATGATGATGATGATTTTTTTCTTTGTTGTTACTTTAGTTTAGTTTACCTATTAACAATGTTCAAATAATATTGATAACCAGGCGACTATTTTAACTGATGGGAAAGCTCCAATGACAATAATGATGATGTGATAAAGCGCTTTCCTTTCATTTTTTTCATTTTTTTTTCATTTTTTTTGAAATGAAAATTGCCAATTCAAAAAATTGAATTCTGATCTGGTGATCTACTCTATGCGGAATTTTCATTTTATTTAATAAAAAAAAGAAAAAAAAATCCCGGACCCTGGGTTACTATAGTCGTCGTCATCGTAGAATATTCTTCTTCAACAACAAAAAAAAGCTTTAAAGAATAAAGAAAAAAAGTCCTTTTTTTTCCTTTAATTAGGCATCGATTCTTTTCTGTGTTGTCAATATTGTCATTGTTGTTGTGAATGACAATTGAATTTTTCCTTTCCCCCTTCTTTTCCTTTTTTTTCTGCTGAATTCCTGTTTTTTCACATTCGATTCTTTCTTCTTTTTCGATTTTTTTTAATGATTAAGATCGTTATGCTAGTTAATTCAATTCAATTCGCTATATGATCCACCACCATAAATGAATCGCAATCAAAATGTGCTATAGCATCCAACAACCAAAAAAAAAAGATCAAAGCTTTTGAATTTCGCATTTTGATATCATCATTAATTGTAGAAAACTTTGCCTGATCTTGACACATTCAACCAATTAATTAACCAAACTCGATCAACTGACCGAAGATGATAATGATAATATGGTGGACATTTTTTTTTTTGGGGGGGGTGTGATTGATAATCAATTTACACACAGCTCGAGTATAAATTGATGATATCGATTGTTATTTTCATTTTTTTGGGGGGGGGAAATTGAGAGGGAGGGGTGGTGATGGAAATTGATAGAAGTAAAAAACCTGATCAAATAAATAGTTGCGCAGACCTGAACCGCTATCTTTTCAGTGTATTATCAAATTTTTTTTTTTTCGTTTTAGATTGCTTCTTTCGTTTCTAGATGTATTTGTTTTTTTTTCTTTCTGAATTTCGTGAGATTCATTTCAATCGAGAGAAATCACTGTGTGTTTGTTTTTGTGTGTTTGCAGAATTTTGTTGCCAATCGATTTTTAGCAGCTAGCTGTATACAAGCAAACTACTACCTGCGGTTATTCTTTAGCATCAATTAAATCATCATCATCATCAACCCACATACTAGCCATTCATTCATTCATCAAAAAAAAAAAAATTTAACCAACCAAGCAACAATAACAACCAGTCCAAGTGCAATGTCAAGTATTTAATCAATCAATCAATCAAATTTTCTATGATGCTATCATTATTTTAACCGTAGTTCCCGCCCCCAATTATCACTATTTTTTTTACAAAGAACAAATAATTAATTTTTTCTCCCCAATCTCCACCTTTTTTTTATCTCCCCCTTTTTTTCCGATTGTCTCCTACCTTTCACTCCCACTTCTTTCACATATCCAAAACAAAAAAAAAAGCTCAACAAAATTTCACTAAATCAAATTCAACATCACAATTATCATCATCATTACCAATCAATCAAACAACAACAACAACATTGNTATAGCATCCAACAACCAAAAAAAAAAGATCAAAGCTTTTGAATTTCGCATTTTGATATCATCATTAATTGTAGAAAACTTTGCCTGATCTTGACACATTCAACCAATTAATTAACCAAACTCGATCAACTGACCCAGAATGATAATATGGTGGACATTTTTTTTTTTTTTTTTTTTTTTTTTTTTTTTTTTTTTTTTTTTGGGGTGATTGATAATCAATTTACACACAGCTCGAGTATAAATTGATGATTGATAAAACAAATTTTTTTTTCTGTAAAAATCCAATTCTGTATATATTCTGTGCATTGTGAAATGATAGAATTTCGGGGTCAAATCAATATCGATTGTTATTTTCATTTTTGGGGGGAGGGAAATAGGGAGGGGTGGTGATAGAAATTGATAGAAGTAAACCTGATCAAATAAAAATAGTTGCGCAGACCTGAAACCGCTATCTTTCGTTTAGATTTTTTCGTTTTTTTTTTTTCACTGAACAACAGCAAACACCCAAAAGTTTTGGTGAGATTTCATTTCAATCGAGAAATCACTGTGCGTGGATACACCGATCGATCGATCCTGTAACCAACAACCTAGCTATAAACTACTACCTGTGAATAACGCGCATCCTGGCCATTCATTATTCTGATTTATTAATTTTTTTTTTTTTTGGCATCAATTAAATTTACCATCATCATCGTTATCAACAGTTATCAAAACAGTGATAACAAATAAAACCATCATCATATTAACCAAGCAAATAACCAATTAACACCAGTTCAAGTGCAATGCCAAGTATTATACAATTCAATCAATCAATTTTTGATAGTTCATAGTTCCCACCCACCAATTATCACTATTTTTTTCAAAGAACAAATAATTAATTTTTTCTCCCCATTCTCCTCCTACCTGCCTTCCTCTTTTTTTTCGATTGTCTCCTCCCTCCCTTCCCACCGCATCAAAAAAAAAGCTCAACAAAATTTCACTAAATCAAATTCAACATCACAATTATCATCATCATTACCAATCAATCAAACAACAACAACAACATTGATGAATAATGATGGCGGTGGTGTTAAAAAAGTTGTCCGAAAAAGTATTACCGGTGATGAATATTCATCATCCACATCATCATCATCATCATCGTCGAAAAAAACACCAACAGCAAAACATTTAAATCACCATCATTATGATGATGGTCAAGAATCTGTTATGAATTTATATCAAAATGTTGTTGCTAACAATGATAATGATGATAACGATGATGGCGATGATGATGATTTTGATAATTCATTGGATCAACAACGTGAAACATGGAATAAAAAATTAGATTTTCTTCTATCGGTCATCGGTTTTGCTGTTGATCTTTCAAATGGTAAGAAATTTCCTGGAAAAATAATTTCCGAAAAAATTTCTTCGGAAAAAAAATTTCTGGGAAAATTTTTTTCATGAAATTTTTTCTTTTTTTTTGTTCATTTTCAGTATGGCGTTTTCCATATTTATGTTTCAAAAATGGCGGTGGTAAGATTTTTGATGAAAATATTTTTTTCCGGGAAACTTTCCCTGAAAAATTACCAAAATTTAATTTTTGCTTTGCTTTACCTTAACCTTTACCTTAACATTAGGTGCATTTTTAATACCATATCTAATAATGTTAGCAATTGGTGGTGTACCATTATTTTTTATGGAATTAGCATTAGGACAATATCATCGTAAAGGTGCTATTACTTGTTGGAGTCGTGTTGTGCCTTTATTTAAAGGTAAAAATTTATCTGACTATTTGATTTACCTGTTTGATTACCTGATTAATTACCTTTCTTCTTTCCAATCATTCAGGCATTGGTTATTCAGTAGTATTGATTGCATTCTATGTTGATCTTTATTATAATGTTATTATTGCATGGGCATTACATTTTTTTTTCAAATCATTTTCAACTGAATTACCATGGTCAAAATGTAATAATGAATGGAATACGGAAAAATGTTTTGAAATTAATGAATTAATCATTAATAATAATAACCGTACAACAAATCTTTCGGGTAATACATCCAATTTAATACGAAATTCAGCTGCATTAGAATATTTTAGGTAAATATGGATTTTGGGTTGGATTTTGGCTTTAAAATAACAACTTTTCTTTGAATTTTTGACAGCCGACAATTTTTACAATTTCATCAAAGTCCGGGTATACAGAATTTAGGTGAAATACGTTTGGAAATTGCATGCAGTTTATTGATGGTTTATATTATCTGTTATTTTAGGTAAAATTTTTTATCAAAGAAACTTTACCAGAAATAAAATTTACGAAAACTTTTTTTTAACCTTTCTTCCTTCCTCTTTTTTCCATAGTTTATGGAAAGGCATTTCGACATCAGGTAAATATTTTTATTTTTTCGAAATTCCCGAAACATTTCTCAATTTTCTATTTTTATAGGAAAAGTTGTCTGGTTTACGGCCCTATTTCCATATGTTGTCCTATTCATATTGCTTATACGTGGAATAATGTTACCTGGTGCTATTGATGGTATCCGTTATTATCTGACACCAGATTTTAATGCCCTCTACGATGCAAACGTATGGGTTGATGCTGCAACACAGGTATTCTTTTCGCTTGGTCCTGGATTCGGTGTACTATTGGCATTTGCAAGTTATAATAAATTTCATAATAATGTTCATCGTGATGCTGTACTAACTAGTGCTATAAATAGTGCAACAAGTTTTTTGGCTGGTTTTGTTATCTTCTCAGTATTAGGTTATATGGCAAAAAGATTAGATGTTGATATTAGGGATATTGCTGCTGAAGGACCTGGCCTAGTATTTATTGTTTATCCAGAAGCTATTTCAACAATGCCAGCTGGTCCAATATGGGCTATTATATTTTTTCTAATGTTACTGACATTAGGTTTAGATAGTTCGGTAAGTGTATTTTTCTTTTTCACGTGTACCCGTTGAATTCGACGTGTAATGATAAAAATTTATTTTTTTTTTAATTTCAAAAAAACGAAAAAGTTTGGTGGAAGTGAAGCAATAATAACCGCTATTAGCGATGAATATCCATTAGTTAAACGTAATCGTGAAACATTTGTTGCCATTTTATTTTCAATTTATTTTCTAATTGGTTTGGCCAGTTGTACACAGGTAAATTTTTCTGGTGAAAATTTTTTGAAATTTTTGAATGAAATTTTCCTTAAATTCAAAGGGCGGTGTATATATCGTACATTTTATGGATCGTTTTGCAGCTGGTTATTCAATATTGTTTGCCGTTTTATTCGAAGCGATTGCCATTTCATGGATTTACGGTAATTGGAAAAAAAAATCAATAATTAAAAATATGATTCTGATTCTGATTCTGATGACTTTTCCTTATAATCTTCTTCTTTGCAAAAAAAGGCGTACGACGTTTTTCACAAGACATTAAACTAATGGTCGGATTTGAAATCTGTTGGTGGTGGAAATTTTGTTGGGCTATAATGGCACCATTTTTCATTATGGTAACTTAATATCAAATGAGGATTTCTTCGACATTTTAAATGGCCAGAAAAATACTAATCAAAATATTTTTCTCTGTTTTGTTTCCCCCCCCCCACACACACAAAGTTCATAATCGTATATGGCTTAATCAATTATGAACCATTAAAATATCATGATTATGAATATCCAATGTGGGTAAATTATTTAGGTTTATTGATTGCATCATCATCAATATTATGTATACCGATAACAGCCATATGGATGATTCTGATCACTTCAGGATCATTAAAAGAGGTAATTATTACATTAGATAAGCTAAGATTACTTTTTCAAATTTCCAAATTTTTCCCCACTTAGCGAATAATAAAATTACTTAAACCATATGATGATCAACGAAGAAAAATATTAATGTTACGTGTTGGTGGTGGTAAACAATCAAAACATAGTATGGATACATTTCAATCGATCAGATCGCCTGTTAGTAAAGTTTGAAATGATTCTTCGTCAGATTCTCCAATTCTTTCTTCAGTTACATTACAATTTTATTTAGTTGAAACAAAAAAATTTTACCTAAGAAAAAACAACATTTGTGTAAAAGTTGTACATTTTATGTTTGCATTATACAATTAATAAAATTGTTTTAGATTTGCCAAAAATTCAAAAATTATATCGAAATATGATATGAAGTGTACACGATTGATTTGACGTGTGAAATCGCTGAAAGTGGAGTGTAGTAGTTGAATTTGGTGGGAGAGGAAGAAAAATTGATTGACCAATGGATGGATGGATGGAAGAAAAAAAGGATGCTTATGGATGACCATTCATATAATATGTGATTCGAATATATCCTCCTCGAGATTCGTTATTAGTTATCAAATTACATTCCACAGTTTTTGATTGACTTTTTTTTTTGGTTGAACAAAAAAAACGAATCAGAAAAAAATGAATTTTCAAGATAAAATCATCAAAATGTTCATCAAACTTACTTTCATATTGGACATTTTGTTTCATTGTAGGACAATTTTTACCCTATTAAAAAACAAAAAAAAAATTCAAAATTCAAAAATGTAAAAAATTTTACAAAAAACGTTATTATAATCATCATCATTATTATCACAACTACTTTAACATTGTTTTCATTCTAATCCCAATCATTTTAATTTTTTCGATTGAATCGGATTAGTTCTATTTTTATATATTAGATTCTTATCGTTAAATTGATGTAATTTTGGAAAATTTTGTCAAATTTTTACAAAAGAAAAAAGTAGAGAAAGCGATTTACCTTTGTCGTTGATTGTTGTTGTTGTTTAAATTCAATGTTTGTACGAATAACACGATCATTTATCGATTGTGTTGGACGAAAATTATTACCCAATGGTGCTTTTGGTACATCAATATCACCTAATAACGTTATGGGAATAAAATTTGAATTTTATGGAAAAAAATTTTCCCAGAAAGAATTACCTTGCATTAAAAAACGTAAAGCTTGAAGCTTAATATGAATAAAAAAAAATTCAAAGAATTAGTTTCCAGAAGAAAAAATCTTTTTTCAGAAAAACAAAATTTTTGTTACCTGTTCTTTTGTAATTGACAATGGTTTATTAATAACAATCCATGTAACAATTTCATCACATGATGGTGTTGTTAGTGAACCATCATATGTTATATAATTTTGATCATCAGGTAATAAATCACGTAAACTTAATGATTTTATTATTGTTTTTTGACCTGTTTTTGTAATTGAAAAATCAAATTAGCTTTTCTGTGAATTTCAAATTCATTTCATAATTGACAAAATTCACTTACCACGATAAACAATTTGATTTAATTGTGATGTTAATATTTCAATTTCGGGTGAACTTTTTGCTTCTTGCTATCAACGATAGTAAAAAAATTGGTCATTTTGCGAAGTTTCATTTCGAATATTCGCAAAACTTACCTTTAGAAATATTGCTATACCGACCAAACCATTTGGTTTGGTCGAAGCATCCGCATAACTATCATAAAGATCCGAATTATATCCAATCAATTGAATCTGTGAAATGCAAAAGTAAAAAAAATGGTATGTTTTTAGTTGAAAGCAGGTAAGATTTCGAAAATCATTAACAAACTTCACCGGGAAATTGAAAACCCGAAATTAAATGTTCCGAACCATATGAATCAACCAAACCAAAATGTATATGTAATGAATGAAATAAATATGAATATGATAATGGTCCACCATTTATTGTTACTGGTAACATTAGATTCGAATTCTGATGATTCTGTTGTTGATTGAATGTATCACTTTGATTTTGTTGTTGATAATGACTATGAAAAACGACACTATGTCCATCATTTTCAAGATATCCATTAACCCTGATATGGTTTGTAAATGGGAGAAAAATTATCTAATTGAAGCTAAATTTGTAATAAGTAAATGTTTTTTACTTACTTATTTTTATTAATAAAAATACTTTTTAAATTTGGATCATATAACAATAGGCCAGGTTTTATATCAATTGGTGATTGTCTATGTCCTTTACTACAAAGAAACCAATCTGGATTTAATATTCCCCAAAATTCTGGTCCTGTAAATGTAAGTATATTGCACATTTGTAAAGAGCATAGGGAAAACAAAACAAAAGGAAAACAAAAGGAAACATGGAAAAAAATGATCGAATGTCAGAAATATGTTCGAAATATGTTTTGTTTTTTACCCGAAATTCCATCATATGTCCACCAAAAATTCCAATCGCATTTGATTGCTTTTTGTTCATTCGTTCGATTCAATTCGATTCATTCATTTTGTTTGTTTCGTTTTTTCGTATTTGATGTTTGTTTAAAGAAAAAAAACATGTTTAATGATGATGAGGACGACGAAGAGGAGAAAAAAACGATGATGATGATGAAATTAATGAAAAGAAAAGAAAGAAAAACACAGAGAAAAACAAATGGAATAATCAAAATAATTAATAAAATAATATTTGCTTTAAATTTTTGTTTTTGAAAAGTCATGAAATTTTCGTTTTTTGTTTTTGAAAAAAAAATTTTCAAAACAAAACAAAAACGAACGAACGAACGAAAAACAAACATCGCTCGCTATCTCTGTGTTTGTGTGTGTGTGTGTCGAGCGCCTATTTACACACAAACAAAACAAAAAATGTACGAACAGGAAATGCGAGCGAAAAAAAAGTAAACATTCGAAACGAACAGATATGGTGTGTGTTTTTTGTTGAAAAAAATGAAAGTTTTTTTGAAATTTTTTTTTGCAAAAAAATTCATTTGAAATTGGTGCCTAGGCTCATCATCATTATGCTGACAATGCTGACAACCACAGTATTTTGTTCATTCAAAATCATCATTTTTTGTTTTAACCCATAACCATCCTCCTCCCCTTCTCATCATCCAGTCCTGATCATCATCCATTTTTTTTTGTTGAAAATTTTGTGTTTGGCTCGGTTGACAATGTTTGAAGCGAGAAACTAAAAAAAAACAAGCAAAGCAAAGCTTGTTTGATGTTTCGGATATTCAACATAATGTTTTGTTTTTTGTTTGTCGAAAAAAAAAATTAAAGATGGATTTCCGTTCTAGAGATGTCCGCATTTCGAAATGAAATGTTTTTTTTTCTCTTCTCACACATTCTTCTAATTTCATTAATGATGATGATTTTTTTTCAGAAAAAAAAATATTAATTAGTAAATTTTTTCAGTGACGAGTTAATCTTTTTTTTTTCTGAAAAATTTTCATGGTTGTTCCATTTGTGGATTTAATACGCCAAAAAAAAACACAAACATTTTTTAATGGACATTCGAAACTCAAACGAATGGAAAAACGTTCGAATTTCGAACGTTCGAACACAAAAAACATTCGAATTTTCAAACGTTCGAATTACAGAATTCTTTTTTTCAAGAATTTTCGTTTTTTTGTTTTTGTTTTTTTTTATTTAGAAAATGAATTTTTTCGCTCTCTTGCTCTCCGTCATGATGATGATTGAACATGATTCCTCTTCTTATCCTCTCTCTCTCCCATTATTCGATTGATGATTGACTTTGAATCGAAATTTTTCGTGTTTTTTTTTTCTTTTGGTGGTTGTTGTTGAACATGTCACGCGATTTTCGTTCAAGAATCTTTTTAAAATGAAATTGATGAAATGAAGCAACAAACAGCCAGCAAGAAAAAAACAACAAAAACAAGAATCCATTCAATTTCTAGATTGAAATTTATTCTTCTTGTTGCCTGATCTCTCTCTCTTTTGATCTCTGGTTTGTCACGAGAATCATCAACTATATCAAAGATTCATATTTCGTTCGTTTTAAAAAATTTCGTGGAAAAACAAACAAACAAATTCCATCGATGATGTTACCTGAAAACCTTTTTCAAAGTTTTCAAATTTG